GCGGCTTCTATTGGTTCACAGTGTATGATTCGTTTGCTGGCTCGTCGTCGGCTTGCTTCATCATCACCTTAGAACTGATTCTTTTCATCTATGTATACGGTAGGTGATGACCATAGTGATATAAGAATATTTTCGATAATTATTAAAGGCACCTTCCAGAATTGATTACTGTACCATCCCGAATAAGGTTGCTGAGCCTGCAACTGCAAGAATAATTTTGCTTTCGCTACTCAAAACGCGTGGGAAAGGCGCCGAAGGCTCATGACTAGCAGTCGTAACCTCCAAATCCCCATTTAAACAACCCCAGATCAGAGGGTGGGGTAACGGTGATGAATAAAATTTTTGGATGCTGAGGTGACCGTTAATGAAAAGGGGAGGAGTAAACTGTCGATGAAGCCCTAGAATGAGGACTCTTTCTTAGCGCACAAAACGAAGAGGAGTGTGTTGGACGAGTAGTTCGAAATCGCGCTTGCTCCATGGCTCCACTAACTCGCGCATATTTGAATTAGCCGCTAATTTGTAATCCACGCTGCATGTCATGGGGTGTGCGCGAGGTACCTCGTCCATTAGCTCACTTCTGCCGTCATTAGCTCACTTTGCAACAGTGCCAATGACGCGCACTTGCGAGCCGCGACAACTGTAAGACTCGTGGGCAACTCTACCCTTCCACAGAATAGATTCGACACGGCCTCATCTGTGGGTCTATCGTCTCGTTTTCTTCTGGGCTCTCTCGTCTCCGTTTGTCACTCTATTGCCTTGGAGCTTGACGATTTCTTAGCTGTTTTTCTTTCAAACTCTCCCACCACCCATGAAAAGAAGAAGGGACCTATATAAGACGTTTTCGCAGTTTCTTTTCCACTACTTTTTTCACTGATAAGTCAGACAGCACCTATTGTTCCATATTTTGAACTCAATATTTACCGTTTCCGCTATTGCAGAATATGCCTTCCAACACTTCTCTTGGAGAATGAGGTATGCCTTTTGGCCCATCATCACAAGGCCTTGCAACTTTCTCGTTACATTGTGTGCCAAGCTAATGAAAAGTTGCTTATTCCCAAGTAAACGGTATGGTCATCATGGTGGCAGTTGTCGGCTCAGCAAGACGTTATTAGTCCCCAGACGCTACTGCCTCAGTCCCGCATTTCGCTCGTCTACACTCTTTCTTCCTGGCACGCACTTTTCGCCTTATGTTCGCGCAATGCCCTGAACCAAACTCCATCCAGAGAGGCTCCACGAGTGTTTTCTTCTGCTTCTTCACAACATAGTCATATAGCATCTCTTCAATATCTAAACATCATTACCACATCTCGTAATTGTGGAATGTGCCTTTGAATCCTACATTTTCATCCTTATCTCAGTCTTTCGTGTTGGAAGATTGTTCGCTATTTTCCAGTGATTTTTCGCGATTCGTAGTCCTGTATACGGTGATAGATTGCAGGATAATATCCTTTCAGGTTACCGACATCTTTATGATGATGTTGTCGAGATGTTCGGTGAACCAAGGGGGACTGGCTCAGTCTTCTTGGTCCTCACTCATGCATATGGATGATAAGTTGGAGAGTTATCACTCCTGTCATATCTGCTGTAGGTTTCCAAATGCTACCTCCTTTCAAATGAACACCAAGAAATGATGAAGTTTCAGCTGGTGTTCACATTCACCCTGCTGCGAGAACCACTAAAGGTCGATCTTGGTGCAACTGAGTACGAGTTCCCTGCATGGGCTACGGTAAGTCCTAACGTTTCCATATGGGCCGTATCCAATTCTTCCCCCAGACTAGGTGAAGGAGGATCCCTTAAAATCTGGGAAGGGTTGGTTGGGACACTTGTAATATCTTATACTGCAAGCATATTTCTACTTGCTGAGCTGCCTAAATATGCGTTCACTCGACTCGAGTAACTGTACGTACCCTCTATTTCGGAGGACGAGAACATCGCAAGTCACGACGGCCAAGAAAAGGAAACGCACTTTTTTCTTGGCCTGTCTGTTGTGTATGTGTTCTGTACTCGGCGCTCTTCCCGTTTTCCGGAATAGAGGTTATACGGTCAATCGTCTTCGTTCAAAATCGAAGTGGCTACTGAGCGTGGAGATTTGGCTGACTTGCAAAGCCAACTAGCAAACTTTGTTCTCTTTTCCTCACAAGCAAAGAACCAGCTCTTTTAGTATTTGAATTTTCACAGTATCCAGTGGATATACGAATGGCGCAAAGGCGATATGCTCTAACTCTCGCACTTAAATGCTGAACTTGTTTGCTAGCGCATGTGGCTGTGCCGGCGATTTGGGACTAGCAGATGTTCGATTTCAATGTTCTGTTGTACCAGACAAGTCTGTTGGTGTAAATTGCTGACCCCTTAGCAGGGTTCAAATTCAGAAGGCAGCGGCGATAGTGACTTTATGAAAAATGAGAAATTTTCTGTCTTAGCAATTGTTTTACAGCAGCTGCATTGTATTGTGCGCGATCTAGGGATCCAATATCAAGTCAAACTTCGCCAACACCAACCGAATCCCATCCGTCCGGGATCGGTCAGTTGTATCAGGCTTGTCTGAGCGAACACTGATTTGTTCAACGGTGGGCCCCCGCCAGTCTGTATAGGTCGTCCTCATTCAAATGCTGCTACGATTCTGGATAGAAGTAGAATGCGTGGTGCATTCCAAAAAGGGATTGATACCAGTTCAAACGACTTTGTAGAAAATTTGAAGGTGAGGTACTATGGAGAGAGAGGGGTAAGGTCATGAGGAGAGGTTTGGTGGTCGTGCAGTGCTGATTCTTTTTCCTATGTTTCCTGCTCACAGAAGATTTCATTGACGCTGCGGAATATTTCCAGGCGTATGGATGGTTCCTGGCCACGGCTCCATTAGCGGCCATTCCAGTTATTTTTATTAAAAACTTACTCGAATTTCTTAAAAAGGGACGGGTTAGTTGATATGTTCTCTTAATTATTCATTCGAGGGTACCTGACAGGAGGCCCGTCGCGCGGCGAAAAGGCATGGACCTAGACGGGTCGGCGGACTAGTCGCAGCGCGTGCTGTGTGGTGTAGGGCGTGGTTAGCAGTACGTTCTATTTAACTTGACGCGAAATCAATGAAATCATTTCAAAATGAGATTGACACCAGGTTAGGCAGTGCGCGCTGCCACTCGTTAGCTGACCGGTCTGCGTCTCCGCCTTCTGGCCGCGCGACGGGCCTCCTGTCGTGTACCCATTCATTCAGCTACTGCAAAGCGATCATTTTCCAGCCTCTGAAAGAACTTTTTACAATACAGCGGACGTTACCGTCTTATTATCGCATCAAAAGCCGAATGTATTATGATAGCGATTCCGATGAGTCTTCGTCTGATTCTGCTAGTTCTGAAAGATCAGAAGATACACAGCCATCTGCTCAGCCCAGCTCTACCAAATTAACTGAAACTAAAAGTCGCTCCGGAACTAGAACTTTTTCCAAAACATCAGCTGAAACTAACGAAAGGCTCACATCAACAGAGCACTGATTTCTGCGCTGTTTCCACATTTCAGCCCGCCTCCTCGACCGTGTCTTTTGAATGTGTTGTGGGTTTTGCGCGTAAAATCGATAACGTATTTTGGATGTGTTCACGAAAGGGGCGGGCTTAACTGTGGAACCAGTCCAATTCAGATCTACCCTTATGATCAGTATTTACTAGCAAGCACAACTTTGATTTAGTTAAGTAGTGGAGCGATAATATTGACTGTTTAATTTTGGATTATAGTTGTTGTGCTGTATATGTACTTATTTATACGAACTTCCGAAATGTCCGTCAATTAATTAAAATATTTTCTTTAAAGTGTTCTGGACAGAAAAATAGCAATTTCATCTGCTCGCCATATTGGTCCCTCGAAAGCCGCCGGAACCTCCCTTCCCTGCGTTAGCTTTGCGCCTTTCGCCTTTCACCTATGGCACCAAAACATTTTGGAGGGGAAGCAAATGCACAAAGGGTATTCTATACTGTAAAAGGCATCATAGGTTAGAGGCATCATGAAGACGTGAAACATGTTTTGCAAAGTAGAATCCACATTATCCTACCTGAGCAATT